TATTCCCCTACAGCCAAAATCCAGGGAAACATAATTGGGTTAGAAATCGTTTTAAATAAATCTTGAGTGTAGAAATATTTTCTTCATACATCAGACATCACTTCCCTCTATCAAAGTAAGGAAAAGAAACTTCAGGTGTCTTTGCCCCTGTGGTCAGTCATAGCATCTACAGATATGTTTTCTGATATCATCTTCATTGATCCAACTTACTGCAATCTTTAAGGTGTTTTATTTCACTGGCATTGACAAACAGTTGTCCATCTTGTTACTGAACTGAACTCGGGTTCACTTGCCAGACTCACGGAAAAGCCAATCTGCGGACTCCAGGTTGTGGTGCATTGCACAGTGCCAAGCAAGAACAGGCAGCTTATGCTCAAAAGACCTGAGCTCTTCGATGGGTTTTAGTGAAGGATTTTTAAAGGCACCGTTAGGGGTGAGGGTTGCAGGGTACATGATCAGCTCATGGATGTTCTTCTGATTGGTCAGTGGTGAGGTAACAGGGAGGTGTTTGGGCAATCTTAACCATCAGTCTTCTGACTCCAACCAATCTGGGGTCTACATGCTTGTGGTCAGCAATTTCTATCCAGTGAGGCGCTGGTTTCTGTAAAACAACTCAAGGATATGTGTCCGATTGTTATCTATATCCCTTGAGGAGGAACTGGGGTCCTGTGACTCTGTTTTATGGCTGATCTATTGTTTAAGCTATCATTAATTTTCTTGCTGGACTGCTTTTCCTTTGTTTCTGCATTCCCTCACTTCTCTAATTAGTAACTGCTTGAGTCTGCTCTTTGGATCCTGGGGAAGGCCGAGGAGACTGAAGCCTTTTTTCTACAAACAAGAAACAGGGGACACAGAGGGATCTGCCACCAGGAAGGCCCTGCAGGGTCCTGCTCGCTTTCAATCTCACAAAACCCTGGCCCTAGTTTTAAAATGGTAAGAAATTTTCCTTTCAAAGAAATTTGAGAAAAACATCCTGGTATATGGATGATTAATTCATTGTCTATGTATAAGAGTGGTTGCTTGTTGACCAGTGATGGTCTGAGTTTTAACTAATGTTTGTTCTTTTCCACCATCTAAATAGCTAATCTGTTAAGCTCTCCCACCACCCATCGTAATGTCTGTGGTCTCTGTCGTCTCAGACTTTGCTTGTGTATTTGGAGGATTAGATCCCAGTGGGTGCGACTCTTTAACCCAACACAGTTCTACCACCCACAGTTCACATTGTAGAGGAAGAAAACTTCCTCTTCCCTTCTAGGGGCTATGAATGGAGCCTGTGAATTAAACTGACAAAAGACAGATTAATAGGAGAAAGGGAATACAAATTTTAATATTTTTACATGCACAGAGGTTTCAGAGAAAACACGTGAAACCCCAAAGAAGTGGTTAGACCTGGAGGGCTTTAACAAAGGGTGATTAAATTATGGGGAAGTGACAAAGGAAAGGGATTTGGGGGTCCTAGAGGTGGTAAATTGTGGGAAGGTGACTAGGAAATATATAGCTGATAAAGGTTTGCTTAATAGGGTTTGTTATGCAGATTCATCTCAGGTCTTCCAGGTACTGGAGAGGGAAACCCCTTTACAGAGGGAAATTTATGTCACCTTTACAAGTGGCAATTTATGCCTTGATTTTAGGCAGAAAGGGGGAGCCAAGTGAACTCTTCCTGTGTCTTCGGTTTTCTCAAATGCGTTCAGCTCAACATAATCCTTATGCCAAAGTGGCATATTTTGTGGTGGCACGTTTTGATCCCTTTCAACACAGATAAAAAAAATCAAGTAGCCACATCCTCCCCCTGAGAAAATCTCAGGAGGCTGAAATGTAGGAACTGACTGAATTAGATTTGTCTGCACTATAGGACTCCTGATTTTTAAAATTCAATGATTTAACTCTATCCTCTGGATTTGTGGTAATAGGTAATGTAAGTCTATCTCTGAGCATTTGCCACTTCAGCTGTGTCAAAGGAAAATAAGATGGAGTGAGTATTGCTAAGAGAGCTCTCCGGAAAGGAGCCAGGAGGCTGTCGAGGAAGTGGGATTCACGCACGTCTCATTCCGGGTGGAATCTGACCTTTGACCACTTAGTATCTTAACACGGGCATCCAGAACATCTGCACAATGTTCCAGAAGTTCAAGATACCTATTAGACCCTTACCTTAAATAACTCGTTTCAGCCTATCCCTTAAAGACAAATATTTCCTTTTTGCATCAGTCATAATTCTTGCCAGACAATAACCTTGTGGCTTTTGCCTTTATAAGCCCCTGATTCCCTCTTCCCCAGAACACTCTTTTGGTTTTACCTGAATCTGTGACTCCCGAATTGCAATTCTTAGGACCCCAAATAAGGCTCTTTGTTTTCTGAAGCCTTGATACTGATTATTCTTCAACAGCTGCCATCTACCAGTTAAAGATAAAGCCACCATCTGATGTCACGATGTCGGGCACATCTCACAGAAGACATTGTGAAATGATTGACAGAGGCTTTGCATCTTCCATGTTGGGGGCATAAAACCACCCCCCGGCCAACATGAGTGTCTAGGAACACACAGGAAGCCCCACCTCCGCAGCATATGGGGTAAGGGCCAGGTGTCCACGTTTTGAACAAATCATGGTCCCAGGGAAGAGTGCTTGTGTTAGTTTCCCTAGGGCTGTTGTAACAAATTACCACAAACTTGGTGGCTCAGAACAACAGACGTGTATTTTCTCATAGCTCTAGAGACGTCTGAAATCCAGGTGTTGGCTGGGCTGTGCTCCCTCCAGAGGCTCTTCCAGCTTCTGGTGGCTCCGGTGTTCCTTGGCTTGTGGCTGCATCACTCCAATCTCTGCCTCTATCTCCATATTGGAAACGTGTTCACATTATGATTTTTAGAAGAATTTTCTTCTATCTCCATGGCCACCTCTGAGTGACATGCCATCTCCTGCTGACCCTTTGGCCCAGTAAATTAGCAGTTGCCTCGGAAACAAGGTATTTCTAATTTACCCATCCCCAGCAAAGGTTTTGTTTTTGCTTTCTACCATTTACTAATAAAGGACTTGCTTTGTCCTAGGTAGTCTATGTTACATCATTAACTCCTTACAATGACCCTGAATCAGGGCTCTTGAGCTCAGGCAGCAGAACCAGTTAAACAAGGAAAGAGAAGGAGAAAGAGGCAGAAGGAAGGAGTCAGCACTGCCTTCATTCTACACATTGAGAAAAAGGAGGCTCAGATGCCGACCTCACGGTAAGTGTTGGAACTGGCTTTCAGACTCAGGGTCTGTCTGTGAATTCCTTATCCCACGAGAACAACATAGGAGACATTCAGTGTCCAGGACAGTTGGACAAGCTACTGCCCTGATACTCAATTCCCGGGGTGAGGATGCACCTCCTCTGTCTGGGGGCCCTGTGGTCTTGGTGAGGAAGCCATCAAAACTATAGAACTTGGAACTGATTACAGGGGCTAGGCTTGGCCCAGTGTGGGAGAGCTGGTGGAGAAGCCTATGCAAAGTGTTCCCTCTGGGTCTAGTGTTGAGTCTGGAGTCGCTAGAGGTCAGCCAGGTGGCCGTCAGGAAGGAAGGAAGCGGACAAGTATGAACTGGAAGCACGTGTGTGTGTGACTACCTCCAGCCTCGAAGCCACAGGAAACACGGCCTATAGGAAAGGCACAGAGCAGCACGCAGAGGTGCCCTTCACTTGCCCAGGCACTTGGCAGGAGCTGTGGGTCTGTGAGCCAGCAGAGCATGGAAGCCTCCACGCTCTGATGCCCCGTGTCTATCTTCAGAACATAAAACACAGAACTGATGTTTTGCTTCTGCTCCAAACTGCGTGCAGTGTCTCGACCAACGCTAAACTTGAACCAGCCAGGGAAGGACATCCTTGGAAAGGTAGTTCCAGCTTAGTGACATGGACATCATCCAAAGCCACTACACCTACCCTGAGTGTCAAGAGTAGTGGAGTATACCTCTCACTGACCAAAAATGCCAGAGGTTTACTTTCTTGTTCACCTTGCAGCTTTGACACATGCCCTAGGATAAGCCAATCTGATATGTGTCTGGGCTTTGATTCTGGAACCACAAGGCAGCAAGGACAGTGGGAAAGGCTTTCTGTTCTGCCCATTGTCCCCACGAGGCCGCACAGCCTGTGTATATAGCCGGAACCCAGGACCAGGGCGCTGCATGTGAATGGGCTGGGTCTCTGGGACTCGGGCAAGCCAACTATGCTCCCTGGACCTGTTTCCACATCTTTAAAATGGGCAGAAAATATCTTAACATATCATTATGGGGTATAAATTGCATAAACTGTCTCAGGTTTGAAACCTCATGGGAATTTGTTGCAAAGTATCTTTTTTTCCCCTTTCCTGTTTTCCAAGCCAGAGTCTCTCAGCTCCCTGCTGATTCCAGGAACTGCCCCACAGCCTTTTCTCAATATATTCAATTTTAGCTCATCAATCAGGAGTTTGGTTCTGTTGCTTCAAGGAGGCATAAAGTTTTCCCACCAAAAGCGCATGAAACGTTTCCTGGGTGGAGGTGGGGTGTTTACCTTGTACTATGTAACTGTACAGTCCTGGGTCTTGTTCTCAGGCCGGTTCTCTTCTGGTGTCCCTGATAGGTAACAGCTGAGGATCTTGCTCCTGCCCCTCCAATAGGCAAGAAACATTAATGCTTTCTGGGCCACCAGCTGTAAGATGCTTGCTTGCTATCAGCATTCCTCCTCGTTCTACTATTGTGAAGAGCTCTTTTGCTGAAGACTTGTATACCTATCGACATTCCAGATCTGCTGGTTGGGATGCAGTTTCACTCTGCTGATGCACACCGAAGTCTTGGCTTTGGGCTTCGCTTAGTGAGTGAATGGCTAGTTGATGCCAACCCAAGGGTGCAGTTGTCCTCAAGTGAAGCCCTTGTCCTGTGCTGCAGGACACCCTCCGCTGCTCCGAGCCTGAAATAGGACCTCACAGAGGGCAGCTCATCTCTTCAAATTCAGGTCAGAATTTGGCTCTTTCAGTAATAATGTTTTAAAAGGTAGACACAGGAGACTGAAAAATAACATCTTTATTTATGACTGAAGATGTGACAGCATTCACAAAATGCCAAGGAAAGCCATTCCTGTCCAATTTTTTAAATCTCAGAGCCTCTGAGGCCTGAACTTTCACTATATACCAGAAAAGAATGCCTCTCTTGAACAGACTTTCACGCTAACCGTTATTTTTCTGTTTTCTCAGTGTCCTAGTATTACTCATCCACGGTTTGTCCCATTAGGGCCTGACTTACACTAACCCAGTCTGCTCACCCGTCAAGTTTCTTGGGATACTTGTAGGAGCCACAGCTCACATCAGTGTTCCCTCAGACAGAGGTAAGCAGGACATCTATGGGAGCCCCTTAGTGTTATGTTGTAAGTAATGACGGTAGCCAGGAAATAAGCAAAGGGTCTCATTAGGGAATCAGCAAATTAAAGCCTTAAATCTAAGGCAGACAACTCCATTTCCCTCAACTGAAATAGCAGGTTGGGTAATTTTTTATTTTACAAGAGATACTGTAATTTTGTGTACACAGCATACGTTTAAGTAGTTTTATTACGTATGTAAGTATACAAACCGATTTCGGGAAAACCTAGACTATTTCCCTAAATGATTGACATGGCCTAAAACAAAAGGGGGGAGTAGGGAGGGGCACAAATTAATAGCCCTTAGAATTTGAACAGAACGGGAAGACATATTTTCATAAAATCTTGGTGTAGATGCACCCCAAGGATGATCTGGCCTCAGTAAAGAGCTGGATTTTCCTGTACCTATACTGACCACAAGCAGGTCACCAAAAGCTGATATTCAAGAGAGGAAATAGTGGTTGCTTGCATCCTAGGGCTTCTGATAGAAGCAGCAGCTCCATAGTTACCGAATGTATTGTACCTAACACAGCTTAGCGACATGGGTCCATGATGGTGTATGTCTTAGAACATATCCATTGGAAGTATTTATTGAATGTAAATCAGAAATTCATGAAACTAGAGGCCACTTACAACATAGGGAAGAGGACTGTCCCTGTATAAAGGGTTCACAATCTGAACTGGCCCTTTAAGACATTGAATAGGGTTAGAGAACCATTGTAAACAAACAACTGAAGTATGAAAAAAAAATGTAGTACAATATATAATTATCAAATACTTTTCTTACTTTTAGATAAGATTTTCAGAAAACCCAGGAATAGATTTTATATCACAAAATGGTCCATATCGCCCAAAAATGTCTTTTGACTGGACAGTAAAATAATATTTGTTGGAAGCTAAAAACTGAGATAAAGTACAGGCCATTGGGAGTGGTAAAGCTTTAATTTCTCCAATTTTCTTCCAGATCAGCTTATTATTAGGGATGTCATGGCACAGGAAGAGGTGGTAGCTTTCCACGGGGGCACACTTGGGATTGATTTTGGTTATGTTCCAAGTCAGGGCAATGCCCTTGGGTCTCAGCACCCGTTTTACTTTGAGCTCAGGCTTCTGGGGAGGAAGTGTGTCTCGGATTTTGTCTACCAGTTCGGGTAGTAGTGGTGGTGGTTCTGGGAGAGGTGGCAGGTGCTCAAAGGATTCAAGAACCTAAAACACATTTATAAAAAGTTTAGCAAGCTGAATTGGTGGGTTCTGATTTTTTTTAAGTGGTCAACTGCAGTTCTACAATATATATTTCCCATTCCTCAATCCATTTATCAAAATCATAAGAACAAAAGGATGCTTCAAGGATACGTGAGGCTGGATCCAGTTTCTTTCAAGCATAAGCTTCTTTCTTTAAGAGTTAAGATCTCTACACTCTGGAATATCACTAATCCAGAATGGGTTAGGGCCCAGACATTCTGGAGAAATATTCCATCTCATTTCCAAACCTGTGTTCCCAAACATGAAAAGTGTGAGTGTAGGAGAACACCCATTTCCATCCACCTTCATCAACAATGGTTATTATTCTTAAAAATCTTTTCCAATTTGTTGGACTAAAAAATGTAGTTGTTCTAATTCTGTAGCTTCTGGAAAATTAAATTATTTTAATTGAGTAAATAAGTAGACTCACAATAGCACATTTGAAAAAGCATATTAAAGTGCTTTCTAAGATGAAATGTAACCCAAATGTTTCTTTATGAGTAAAATGGATACTTCCACTCAATTTGGAATGAATAATATCCCTTACAGAACATTTCATATCAGTACCTGGGCTGTATTTTGTGCCTCTGGGGTTGTCTCTTTTGAGATTGAAATAGCTTTCGTAGGTGACTCAAGCATGGATACTGGACTTTCTGTGAACAACAGAAGGTTTAAAAGTAAAATGTATCTGCAATAATCAGTCCCATAGCCTTTAAAGCAAACAGTAGTTTACATCTTGGGTAGTAATTAAATGTGAACTAAAATTATAAAACTGTGAAATAAGATAACTTTTGATATGCAAAGGTATCAAATATAGAGAATTTTTCTTTAATGTGACAAAAATTCCTCAAGGTAAACACTAATGTCATGATGCAACTGGAAACTAGGAAAAATTACCCATGGTAGAGGGATTCCTGCTTAGCAGTCTTAGAGGCAGATTTTGCTCTGTTAGGTCAACAAGGATGTTTGCAAACACAGAACTGTTTACAATCCTATAAGAATGTGTGATACAAACAAGGCCTGGGAATTCAAACTAAAACTCATGCAGGCTGGGGTTGGAGGTATCCCATGGTAGCCTAGAGGGAATTAGATATCAATTGTGGACTGCTGAAAGGGAGGGGGAGGGAGGAGAGACAGAAGAGAGAACGGAAGAAAGAGAGATGGTTAGAAGAAAGAAAAGGAGGAAAACAGAGAAAATGTGGGTGTGAGGGAGAGAAAGAAGGTTTAGTAGGCGCAAGAATGGTTTGAGGACAACTGGGGAAAGTATCATGGGGATAGTAAGAAAAGTGCCTCCATGTTGGAAAGTAATAGGACCAGACAGCAAAAAATTTCAGAAGTTTGAACATATCTAATAAGCAGCAAAAATCATTTTTAATCCACTGTGTGTGCAGTGATATAACTGTTTAACGTACTTTAAGAATCTCCCCCAATAAAATTTTTTATTTGTATTTTTCTTTTAACTGACAAGGATAATTAAGATTCTACACTGTTTCAAAGATAACTTATTAATCGCTTTATTTACTGGTGTTAAAATACGTTTTTGTAAAGGTAATGATTTTACGCTTTTAATTGTAAGAGAATCGATGCATGAGAGATTGGTTCAAAATGGCAGAGTAAAAGGATGTGTGCTCACTCCCTCTTGTGAAAGCAGCAGAATCACAACTAACTGCTGAACACTCATTGACAGGAAGACCCTGGAACTCACCAAAAAAGATACCCCACATCCAAAGACAAAGGAGAAGCCACAATGAGGTGGTAGGAGGGGCGCAATCACAATAAAATCAAATCTCATAACCGCTGGGTGGTGACTCACAAACTGGAGAACAATTATACCACAGGAGACCATCCACTGGAGTGAAGGGTCTGAGCCCCATGTCCAGCTTCCCAACCTGGGGGTCTGGCAATGGGGGGAGGAATTCCTAGAGAATCACACTTTGATGGCTAGTGGAATCTGATTGCAGAATTCAACAGGACTGGGGGAAACAGAGACTCCACTCTTGCAGGGCACACACAAAGTAGTGTGCACATCGGGACCCAGAGGAAGGAGCAGTGACCCCACAGGAGACTGAACCAGACCTACCTGCTAGTGTTGGAGAGTCTCCTGCAGAGGCGGGGGGTGGCTGTGGCTCACCGTGGGGACAAGGACACTGGCAGCAGAAGTTCTGGGAAATACTCCTTGGCATGAGCCCTCCCAGAGTCCACCATTAGCCCCACCAAAGAGCCGGGTAGGCTCCAGTGCTGGGTCGCCTCAGGCCAAACAACCAACAGTGAGGGAACCCAGCCCCACCCATCAGCAGGCAAGCAGATTAAAGTTTTACTGAGCTCTGCCCAACAGAGCAACACTCAGCTCTACCCACCACCAGTCCCTTCCATCAGGAAGCTTGCACAAGCCTCTTAGATAGCCTCATCCACCAGAGGGCAGACAGCAGAAGCAAGAAGAATTACAATTCTGCAGCCTGTGGAACGAAAACCATATTCACAGAAAGACAAAACGAAAAGGCAGAGGACTATGTACCAGATGAAGAAACAAGATAAAACCCCAGAAAAAGAACTAAATGAAGTGGAAATAGGCAACCTTCCAGAAAAGGAATTCAGAATAATGATAATGAAGATGATCCAGGACCTCGGAAAAAGAATGCAGGCAAAGATCGAGAAGATGCAAGAAATGTTTAATAAAGACCTAGAAGAATTAAAGAACAAACATCTAGAAGAATTAAAGAACAAACAAACAGAGATGAACAATACAATAACTGAAATGAAAAATGAACTAGAAAGAATCAATAGCAGAATAACTGAGGCAGAACAGATAAGCAACCTGGGAGACGAATGGTGGCATTCACCGCCATGGAACAAAATAAAGAAAAGAGAATGAAAAGAAATGAAGACAGCTTAAGAGAACTCTGGGACAACATTAAATGCACCAACATTCACATTATAGGGGTCCCAGAAGGAGAAGATAGAAAGGACCCGAGAAACTGTTTGAAGAGATTACAGTCAAAAACTTCCCTAACATAGGAAAGGAAATAGCCAGCCAAGTCCAGGAAGCGCAGAGTCCCAGGCAGGATAGACCCAAGGAGAAACATGCTGAGACACACAGTAATCAAACTGACAAAAACTAAAGACAAAACTTACTGAAAGCAACAAGGGAAAAATGACAAGTAACATACAAGGGAACTCCCATAAGGATAACAGCTGATTTCTCAGCAGAAACTCTACAAGCCAGAAGGGAGTGGCATGATATATTTAAAGCAATGAAAGGGAAGAACCTACAACCAAAATTACTCTACCTGGCAAGGATCTCTTTAGGTTTGATGGAGAAATCAAAAGCTTTACAGACAAGCAAAAGCTAAGAGAATTCAGCACCACCAAACCAGCTCTACAACAAATGCTAAAGGAACTTCTCTAAGTGGGAAACACAAAAGAAGAAAATGACCTACAGAAACAAACCCATAACAATTAAGAAAATGATAATAGGAACATACATATCAATAATTACCTTAAACGTGAATGGATTAAATGCTCCAACCAAAAGACACAGGCTCACTGAATGGATACAAAAACAAGACCCATATATATGTTGTCTACAAGAGACTCACTTCAGACCCACGGACACATACACACTGAAAGTGAGGGGATAGAAAAAGATATTCCATGTAAATGGAAATCAAAAGAAAGATGGAGTAGCAATACTCATATCAGATAAAACAGACTTTAATGTTACAAGAGACAAGGAAGGACACTACATAACAATCAAGGGATCAATCCAGGAAGAAGATATAAAAATTTTAAATATATATGCACCCAACATAGGAGCACCTCAATACATAAGGCAACTGTTAACACCTATAAAAGAGGAAATCGACAGTTACACAATAATAGTCGGGGACTTCAACACCTCACTTACACCAATGGACAAATAATCGAGACAGAAAATTAATAAGGAAACACAAGCTTTAAATGACACATTAGACCAGATAGATTTAATTGATATTTATAGGACATTCCATCCAAAAACAGCAGATTACACTTTCTTCTCAAGTGCACACAGAACATTCTCTAGGATAGATCACATCTTGGGTCACAAATCAAGGCTCAGTAAATTTAAGAAAATTGAAATCATATCAAACATCTTTTCCAACCACAATGCTTTGAGATTAGAAATAAATTACAGGGAAAAAATGTAAAAAAACACAAACACATGGAGGAAAAACAATACATTACTAAATAACCAAGAGATCACTGAAGAAATCAAAGAGGAAATCAAAAAATACCCAGAGACAAATGACAATGAAAACATGACGATCCAAAACCTATGGGATGCAGCAAAAGCAGTTCTAAGAGGGAAGTTGATAGCTATATAATCCTTCCTCAAGAAACAAGAAAAATCTCAAACAATCTAACCTTACACCTAAAGGATCTACAGAAAGAAGAACAAACAAAACACAAAATTAGTAGAAGGAAAGAAATCATAAAGATCAGAGCAGAAATAAATGAAATAGAAACAAAGAAAACAATAGCAAAGATCAATAAAACTAAAAGCTGGTTCTTTGAGAAGATAAATAAAATTCATAAACCTTTAGCCAGACTCAACAAGAAAAAGAGGGAGAGGACTCAAATCAATAAAATTAGAGAGGCTTCCAGGAAGATGGCGGAAGAGTAAGACGCGGAGATCACCTTCTTCCCACAGATACACCAGAAATACATCTACACGTGGAATAACTCCTACAGAACACCTACTGAACGCTGGCAGAAGACCTCAGACCTCCCAAAAGGCAAGAAACCCCCCAGGTACCTGGGTAGGGCAAAAGATAAAGAATAAACAGAGACCAAAGGATAGGGACGGGACCTGCACCAGTGGGAGGGAGCTGTGGAGGAGGAAAAGTTTCCACACACTAGAAGCCCCTTCGCGGGCGGAGACTGCGGGTGGCGGAGGGGGAAAGCGTCAGAGCCGCGGAGGAGAGCACAGCAACAGGCGTGCGGGGGACAAAGCAGAGAGATTCCCACACAGAGGATCAGGGCCGACCGGCACTCACCAGCCCGAGAGGCTTGTCTGCTCACCTGCTGGGGCGGGCGGGGTTGGGAGCTGAGGCTCGGGCTTCGGTCAGAGCCCAGGGAGAGGACTGGGGTTGGTGGCGTGAACACAGCCTGCAGGGGGTTAGTGCACCACGGCTAGCTGGGAGGGAGTCTGGACCTGCCGAAGAGGCAAGAGACTTTTTCTTCCCTCTTTGTTTCCTGGTACACGAGGAGTGGGGATTAAGAGCACTGTTCAAAGGAGCTCCAGAGATGGGCACGAGCCTCGGCTAAAAGCACGGACCCCAGAGGCAGGCATGAGACGCTAAGGCTGCTGCTGCCGCCACCAAGAAGACTGTGTGCGAGCACAGGTCACTATCCACTCCCCCCTTCCGGGGAGCCTGTGCAGCCCACCACTGCCAGGGTCCCGGGATCCAGGGACAACTCCCCCGGCAGAACGCACGGCTCACCTCAGGCTGGTGCAACGTCACGCCGGCCTCTGCCGCCGCAGGTTCCCCCCACACTCCATGGACCTCCCTCCCCCTGGCCTGACTGAACCAGAGCTTCCGAATCAGCTGCTCCTTTAACCCCGTCCTGTCTGAGCGAAGAACAGACGCCCTCCGGCGACCTACACGCAGAGGCG